CACACACACACACACACACACACACATTCAGAGACCCACACTCAATCACACCAACCCCCTTTTCATATTCTTGCAGTTGTCTTTATGGTGAGGGCCACTCTTTAACTTTTCTTTTCTGCTCCAAACAGTCGTTAACCAAATTAGTTGCGCTTAAAATTGCCTGGCCTAATTGAAAAGCTCTGTGTGATGTGGTAGAGGCCATGAATTCGCTGTTAAAAGCAGGATTTCTTGAGGGTTGACAGAGATCAGACGCTCAGTGCCCAAAATGTGTCTCTGTGGCTTCATTTTTTTTCTAAATATCAGCGACATGTAACCCAAACTCAGCTAGCCAATGGTGCTATACGGATATTGTTTTGTCGTATCTTCCAACCATTGTGTGCTAACGCGTAGTGATCATTGACAAGTGCATAGAAGATGACTGTCCTCGACACTATCTGCCCGACCGAGATCAGTGGAAACCAACCATGTCAGCAGTTTTTAGGGGTTTTTTCCCGGCTGCCTTTACAGGGAAACAAATGAAAATGAAAGTAGAAGGCCACAACGGAAATGTTCTATCCTATTGGTACGTTTAATGATAATCCGATTGAAGTCATGTCAAAATGCAAGGTCTATTTTCGGTAACATCGTCATTTACTGTCCCGCAACCACTTTAAGGCAAGCTGTTGGTATTACTTTGTACTGTTGTATAAGCAATCCAAGTTAGTATTGTCAACTGTCAACCCTCTTAGATCTGTTTTGTCAGCACAGATTAAAATTACCCCCCCCCCCCCCGCCAATCTTTTTTTTTTCCTTGAAAAAAAACAACAACAACAAACAACAAACACATTCTCTAGGGCCTACTCCCCGACTGGCCAGTAGATGCTTTATGAAAAAACCGTTGCGCCCTTAAAAGGTCCGTGGCAGTTTTAACTATTTCTTTCGTACGGCTAAATTCAGTGGGTTAAAAAAATCTCACCATGCTACCCAGGGAACTGTTTTCAAGATGGTTAAGACTGAAAAAGAAATCTTTTCCATCAGTGCCCC